CGCGAGGGCGCGCGGACGGGGATGTGGATGTGCCGATTTTCTTCTTCTTTTTCCTTTCTTTGGACGGTCGGCTGTCGGTGGTACGCGCGGTGGCGATGGGGCGTGTGTGCGCCGCGCAGACGAGGGACTGGGCGGGCGAGACTTGCGGGCAGGTAGGCGCGCGCGTACATGGGCGTGACTTGCTCGTGCTCACCTGCGACACGGCGGGTGGTGATAGCGCGGCGGGTGCGCAGCCGGGGGACGTCATGATGACGGGGAGACCAGGCACTGGTGGGCAGGATGTGCGCGGGGGAGCAGCGTGTGAGGCCGCTGGGCGATTATATGGGATCACAAGATCGCGCGTTCGTGGCGTCAGCTGCAGCGGGCTGCGAAGCGCCCGGCGCCGCGTCCTGCGAGCTACGACGCCGCGTGCATGTCCAGGCGCTGGGTGCCAACGAGGATGAGGTGAATAGAGTGATACCCAGATGCGGGGGATGACGTGTCAGACGACGAGAGGAGGCTTTTGGCGTGCGGGGCTGCGTGTGCCGCCGCGGGGGGCGAGAGCGCGCGGATGCGGCGGACCTGCGCGAGGTGAGAGGATGCGGGTGCGCCTGGGGGACGAGTGTCTGTGTCTGTGCGGATTGCGGAGAACGGCTCGAGTCGTGGATGCGCCATGCGGCGTGCTGCTTGTCTGTCTGGTGGTGATGGATGACGGAGTGGAGCTGCGAGCGGGCGGGTGCACGAGCTGTGTGTCCACCGTGCTGCTCGTTCGATGGGTACGACATATCGCGATGTCGTTGCTGTCCGCGAGATGGGGCTCTCGGGCTTATGACCTGCGGTGAGCGCGAGCTCGTATCCGCGCGGGGCGAGGCGCAGCCGCAGCTGGATGCAGGCATTTCCTTAGAGAGCCTGCGCGCGAGCGGACTCGCAACGGAGACTTCTTTTCGTTGGTGACGATACCCTGGGGCGGGTGGCGCTCTATCGTAGAGGTGGAGCGACGACGATGCTGGGACGATAATGGCCCGTTACATATCGGGGCGCGAGGCGACGTATGACGGCAAGCCGGCAATGACTGGTGGTGTCGCGGTGTCTCGAGCTTCTGCTGCATCTGTGTGCCCGCTGTTTGTCTTCTTTCTTCTTCGTCGTCATAGTTTGGTTATCCTCTCCTAGCCACGCCACAGCTTCATCTCCGTCTCGCATTCCCCGATCCCTTGCCCCGCGTCGATTCGCCCCGGAGCTGGACCACGTTTGTGGGAGTTGACGCTGTGAAGCTGTGTGGGGGGCGACGGCCTTGGATCTCTCTCCGTCTTTCCTCTCTCTTATCCTCTCTACATATACTTTCCGTTTTCGTACAGCTCCTTTGTGTTTCGCCAATTTTTCCCTATTCGAATATAATCGTTTCAGACCCACAGATTCGTGCTCTCATGGTCCGCGAGCTACATGGGTTTCTTTCCCTCTTTGACCTTGCACGCATGCGTTAACGCTTTTTTTTTTTGATTTTTTTCTTTCTATTTTTGGAAGTACGGGAAGAGAGGGTGCGTCCTCGCGGCTCGAGATGGAGGATCGCGGCGCGCGAGCTAGGAGTCACAAAGAGCCTGCGGGCGGGCGTGTGCTCACCGTCGGAACGGGGGCTGGCGCTGTTGAGAGGGTGTGTGGATCGGGGCGTGTCGAAGGCCATGATAAGGCGTAACAGGCGGGAGCGCGTACTCCAGGCATTAAGCTTCAATCATAGCGCGCCGTCGGCGTCGGGTGCGCGGACCCGCACGTCCTGGAAGCGTACACATATGGGAATTGGGGACCACACTGGATACTTGGCCTGGACAGGGTACGGATTGCCATTGGCGTGAGTGGGACGGGCAGCGTGCGGACGCTAGGCGCGCGACGAGGTGGACAGATGGGGTGCACACGACTCCGAAATCTGCGCTGGAGCTGAGGTTGGCGCATGCTCTGACTCCTTGCGCCGCAGAGGCCGGAATGTGTTTATCGGTGTGGCAGGCAGTGCTACTCGGTGTCACGCTCGAGTTTAACGTCTGCAGCATGGGCAATGCCGTAGCTGCGTTTGTCCGGTTCGTTGTCCGGTCTAGAAACCCTGCCCTGTTCCTTCCAGTTTTTTCTTGACAGCATCTCAGGCTCGAACTAAAACTCCCTTTGGTCGTCATCTATTCAGGCACCAAACTTCGGCTGACTTCACATTGCGTCGGGACAATGCGTCCCAGTTTCGACTGGAAAACAGTCTTGCAATCTCGAGGCTGTATTTCAGCTTGCGCTCGCTCACCGCGTGGGGGTTTTATAAGCTTCGAATAGTAGGTATTGATATGTTTTTTATTGCCGATCTCTCTCTACCTTGACGCGCTCTCGCATTCTGCGCAAAATCTGACGTGCGAGAGACTTATCCGTGTCACCATTAGTCTAATCGCGAAACAGAAAGAAAGCCTCAGATGTGGCGCGTAATAAAATACACAGTTTCGTCCGTTCAACTTTGTATCCCGCTGCGCTTCAACCTGCTGACCATCATCCTGCTTGAATATTCATTCCTCCTCCTCGTCTGTGACGGCGTCTTCTGGGTGCCAACAATCCAGCCCCTCGAGAATCCTTCGAAGAAGTGCCAGAATCTCCCGAGGCGAGTCACTCGTCGTAAACGCCAAGTTCTGCTCATAGCCAGCAAACACATCGTTGATTCTGTGGCGAGGTTCGAGATCGTCCAACCATGGCCAGAAACGCTCGCGGGGATCCAGGGGGAACTGATTGTCTGCCGGATTATCTCCGGTTGAAAATCTAAATTGCGCGCGACGGGCTTTGACCTCTTCTTTACGCCTGCTGCATAGACCGCCCAAAGTGGGCAAGTAACAATTGCATCCAACAGTCTCATCTTGGCGCCTGAAGCAAAAACGCTATGAACGCTATCTGCTAGCCGAACCTGAAGAGTTGGATTGATGACTACCGCAGGTGTCAGGTATGAAAGTCTCCAGGCCTTGTACGGCAACACTTCTGCAGTGCAGTGCTCAAGGTAGTCCGTGACGATGACGAGGCAAGGCTCAGAGAGTTTGTGGAATTGCAGATTTCGCAGGTCTGACCATTACGTGGCAGACATCTCGTTCTCGTCCGGCATGGGCATGCACAGTCTTCTCATGTTGTCTCTCGGAAGGAACCTTCCTGGACCGCCATCGTTATACCACATCTCCGGTGTTTTGAAGGGGAAATTACGGTCCCGCAAAATCAAAACCTCCAGGAGTGCAATGGCCGAGTCGGTGATTTTCTTGAAGGAGGTTTACGCCCTTGAGAGCGTCTGGAGACCTGCCTCAATCAAGGGCAACCCCGAATCACTGAATATGTGCTCTTGCAGCCCAATGGACGTGCTGAACTGCCGCAATGCGGTAAATGTGTTTTCATCGCTGCCAGATGACATGTCGACTAGTCCTTATGTAAAAAGCAACCCCAAGGGTGGAGTTCGACAGTCTCTTTATCCTCTTGCAGGATCCTCCCCAAGTACATTTTATCCTCGAAATTGTTCAACAGAAAGGTAATGGTCGAAGAAACGCACTCTGTATTGGTGGCTGCGCATAGTGCCAGGACTTCCACTACGCTTTCAAAGACCCACGTCGAATCCATCCCTCGAGTGCTATTCAATTTGGGCATCCGATCGCATATAATCCTTCAATTGGTTCTTTCAGTGACACCGGTGCTAGAGATGATAACTGGAGGATAGCCCGGGTTTGCCAATGGCGGTAGGGCATAGATTGTGAGACAGCTGATTAGCCATTGAAGGCTAGGATGATGCCCCGGGCACCACCGACAGAAAAGTGTCAATCCAGTGTAAATATCGGTTTGCACGCTAGGAGGGTCTATCGCAATGTCGAAGAACTGGCGAATTTACTCCATATTTTCGTCAATATTAATGGAAGGAAGTTGTCACTCCCGGGATCAGTTTCGTGACACGCCAGAGTTTCTCGGAGCCAAACCACTTCACCATGTGCTCCACGAAGCGATAGCTAACGCAGATAACCAACAGGGCTAACTTCGAACGGCCCATAATACCATAGTGGGCGCGGTAAGAGTCTGAGATCTGGAGCATCATTATCTATGGTGGTGGATGGCCGATTGGAACAGAAGAGAGTTCCGATGGCCCAGATGGCTTTATAGCAATGATGCATCCACCCATCATCGGGTAGTTACCCCTTTAGGACTACTCCTCCTCGCATCCCAATTGGGCATATCGTTATCTTATCTAACATAACAATAATTTCGCGAACACACATTATTTCGTTACTCAACAAAGCTCCGTTTTCCCATGAATGAGCTCAATTCTTCCATACATACAGACATGGGACTACCCTCCGTTCCCTCCCAAAGCAAAACAAAAAGTATTTGATGCAGGGCAGGGGTGGGGGTCGAACCCACGATCTCCCACCACGTCACCATTATCATTTTCCATCCCCTCCTCACGGAATATCACAATGGATTTAGCAAAATGGTCAAAGGTGGTCCCGAGGCGGCCGTAGTGGGAGAGGTAGCGGTATGCCGGACGTGGAGTACACCAACGCGGATGGCCCGCAGGAACGTGACTATGAGGTCAAGGAACGGAACACATATTCGCTCAGCAGCTGTGACGGAGAGTTCGGGTTGACTACACGCTCGAATCAGCAAAGGTCGCACAGCAGATGGAGGAACAACAACGAACCCTCCTTGACAGCGCGCTTCGTCGTTTTGGGAGGCTTGGCTTTACCCTTTCCTTTCTTCTTCCCCTCGTCGCCAGCATTGCTGCCTTCGCCCTCATCTCCGCTCTCCTTGTCATTTTCCTGAATCCTCGCCTTCATCCTCGTCCTCATCCTCTCCCGTTTCTGGCTCAACGAGGGTCGCGGCATACCGCTCGATCTCCGCCTGCACGTATCCTGCACAGCGAAACTGCACTTCGTCGTCAAGCGAGACAGCCATCTTCTCCGCCGGCCCAAAAGCAATATGAACGTTTACCAGACTACTACACATTTTCTGATTGTGGAATCGTTGGGTGTTTGGACTGCATCGACTGAGTGGTGTAGTGATTACATACCTGCGAATAATTGGTTTCATCTTTCCTTGTTCGCGGGGGTTGTGGGTTCGATTCACACCTCAGTCCTGCTGGCTTTGATTGCTTCAATGCAAAGCAATGGAACGTAGGAAGCATATGTTTTTTTTTTTTTGGTACAGCCCAAGAGATGTCGGAATGTAGAGCGAGTAAGGGTGAAGCCCTGTACATTGCAGTCAGAAAGTGGGATTTACCATTCGTGAGGGCTGTATCACCTTTGACCTCGACGGCCAGAGTTTATGGGCGCAGGAAGCCAAGACGCCGATCAAAACTCGGGCCGAGCTGGGTATCGGCTGCCGCTGTATCCAAGTGCGCCAGTTGTCTGCTAGTTGGCGATACCAATCATATAGATGACACTACGGCGGTGTTGAGTGCAGGAGGGCAACCGATCGTCGGACGAGATGGGCGAGCCGGCAGGCAGCTGATGGGGTTTACGCCGGAGGATCGGAATCGAGTTCTGCAAAGCGGGATCCAAGCAAACAAGAAGCAAAAAACTGAGCATCGTCCGTTTCGGAGAACCGGAAACAGACAGCATAAGTTTGTTTGCCCCGCATTGAACCGACATCAATAGCGATTTTGACTTCGTGGCAGAGAGGGAAACACATTCAGCGTTTATGGTTTCACGCGAGTTTTACTAGGGTAGTGATTCGATAAAGGGCATACATGATCTTGACTGAGGTGAAATACAGATTTGCGCGAGCTTCAGGTCAGAAGTCGAAGGTGGAGACTAGTACTCCCGCCAGGTCACAGAGAGGTCCCACAGTGCAGAAGGCGAAGGGTACAACACTGGCTTGGCTGGTCCCGACGGCGAAAAAGGGCAATACCCCGGGTCAAGCACCAATCCAAACTGCTGCACAAACGATCGAAAATGCCACCATCCAAGCGCTAAAACTGCTTGTATCGTTGAACCAACACCGTACTTATGTTACACGTATTCCTCGCAAAGGCATGAAGATTCCAGATTCCCATGTTTCTACTTCGTAATGATCTCGGCATAACTGCGGGCGCTCAAATACGTTTCTTTTGTCCCGCCTGAGTTGAGGTTAAGCGGCGGTTGAGATTACTTGCTTGATTTCCTGTATGCACACATGGTGTATGATTTAAGGAGAAACTCGAAGGAAAAGTGGCTGGAAAGAAATTAAAAGACCTGGCTGACAGCCTAGCGCCGATCGCTGGAAGGTTCTTTGTCTCCAGAGGGTATCGGTACTATTGCTCGTACATATCTGAAAGAAAAATAAAAGGATGGGGATCGTCATGGATTCGGACGCGCGGAGTCAAGCCCCGATCTGCCAGCTACGTTATGTGGACAGCACGCATGGAGCTGGCGGTATTTGTCGTAGGATTGAAGCTATAATTTCAAAGCCAAAGTGAGTACTAGTATGTAGTGCACTCATGAGAGGCGAAGAGTGCAATGGGCAGGTTTTGAGCAGAGCTGCCGCAAAGCCGTGTCAAAATAATGGGCATTTTCATCGATGATAATACGTGCTTTGACCGGCGTGTGAACCCGGCTCCTCGGCATCGACTCAAAAGGCATCAACGCCAAATTTCCCAAAGAGGAAGGCACCGAAATCCTGCTTTCGACCGCCATGTCCAATTTTTGGCCTTCAACATGGCTGGGCTCGGGCACGGCGGCATACACTTCGGCATTACTCTACCTCCGCGCGGGGGCTGATGCGGCGCTATCCGGCCTCAGGGACAACGGCAAACGGCACACGGCATTTGCACCCATTTCCAAAGATTTTGGGATAGAAGCACGACTGTTGGTCACCATGACGCCAAACGCTCTGAATATGATTTGATAGTTACTGCCGCGCATCTCGGGCGATTTCTGGGGCGATTGGAGCGGCGTAGACCCCGCATGACCCTCCGGTGCGTTTCCACCCTATATCGCTTATTCCGCGGTACCTTGCTGACTTATCACCATTTTGGCCGCCGAAACGGCTTTCTGGATGTTGAATGTTCTGTTCCTGTGCGTCCTGGGCGCCCACCGCTATCGCGATGCGATGAGTCCAATACTGTGCCATTTTGTAGGGGAGCAACCGTCACGGTAACGGGGCCTCCGTTGCGTTGCCCCTCCCTCCTCCCTCGAATGTACCCCAATACAACTCGGATTTAATTCCGTATTCAATATCTTGATTTTTAGTGGCTCAAATCCGCACCCTGCCCTCGATTAATAGGCCGGGAAGAAATCAACAAAATCAAGATCACCTCAATCGGAACGCCGGAGATCGCCAGTATCAGCTCAGTCTCGGCTCGGAATGTCTTCACACACCCACCCGGATCCCTGTGTGGGTTTCTGGCCATCTGGCCCTGGATACAGCGCTTCCGCTGTTTGAAACTGTTTTCGAACCCTCGTTTCAGGGGCCCCACACCGCGCGCCCAGGTCACCGGATCCTTGTGGATGCGTTATCTGGCTGCAATACAAGACGCTACGGTCGCATCTGGGGCTTCCTGGATGTATATAGGATGACAAACACCAAGTCTTTTCCCCACGGGTCGTTTTTTGGCCACTGTTCCCCCTTCCCCCCACCTTATACTGGTCACTATTGATGCAACACATGCAATCTAACCCCTTAACCAAGCGCCTACTGAGTTCCCCCTTCAATCTCTGACTGGGCTTGATACTCCGCTCTCAAGCCCAATGCACGCTGCGCCCTCGGGCTTCTCGGCGACATCGCAACTCCCTCCTACCTCGGTTCTGAACTTGTGTTCCGCGTCAATTCCATCTCAACCTTCAATATCTTAATGCTCTGGCTCTTCGAATCTCAAGTGGACTGCTGCCCATCCTTGATTCTCATCTTAGACAACCAACTGCCGTTCCACGCATTTGATCTTTTTGTAGGACAATACCCAGTTCAAATTAACCTTGCATTTTGTGACTTCTTTGTTCGGGTTGTCTTTCCAACTCCTTATAATTGACGCTTCATCTCTGTAGATCCCACAATTTGAGTTTGTCCAACTTCACGGCGAGTCCACTTTACAAGTTGAACCTCGCCGATTATTTTCCTTACATTCCATCGCAGATTGCCGAATCTCTTCCTTCGTGCGTCTGATCCCTCTCTTCTCTCTACTTATCTCCCGATGCGTTGACACTCCTCAGAATGTTCTGTTGAATTCGATCTATCCGCCAACGGCGAATTTACGGTAGCTACGGATCTTCGGACTTTGGCCTCTTTTTCGTTGCATCTCACCTCACTTCTCTCTGCAGGTATCCATGCTTCGTTTTGTCGTGAGCATCGCCCGAGGACCCGTAAGTTTTTCACTTGTTGGATTCATGCATGTAGCTGATGTACTCTTTGTATCCAGCGATGGGACTTACCGTAAGATTTCTTAGCCGTTCAACTTACTGACTCTTCTTTGAGCTTATAGTTCTCGGAACGACATTCAAGTCAAGTCAAACTCGGATTGAACTTGGAACCGTTCACTCAACTCGCTGACGTTCTTTTCTCAGGCTATCAACGTTGACTCGAGGCTTATTCAGTTCCGGCTCGAGGTACGTTCATTCTTCTATGATTGTCTCGCAAAGCCTGATCTCTTTCACTGCCTCTGCACTACTCATGCTGTGACTAAACTCGGACTGCAGTCGGGATACTTGCCACCGTTCATTTTGACTTTGCCCTTCCAGCCCCACTCCAAATCCAGGTAAGTAAAACATTGCGACTCATACACACCTTGAAATCCCTGCTGACCATTGATCCGTACTCGTAGCATCGTTTTTTCAGCCTCTTAGTCTAATTTGAACGTGCTGACATCGTTTTTGCTTGCAGACGATGCGCTCGCTCGCAACGAATATCACGAGTTTAAGCTTGTTCGGCAGGTAAGATTTCTTTCGAGGTTGATTGCTTGCGGGTGCGACGGACTGACTTGTTGAACGGCGCAGTGTTTGTTCACGCAAAATCAACTTGAAAGTTTAGGTTGAAATCGAAGACCTGGCTTTCCGCATTCACTAGCGCAAGGTGAGTGCCGATCCAATTCCACTTGCACGTACTGAATTTCCGACTCAGTTCAAGTGCGACCGTATGCCAACTTCGGCGTCCCCGTTGGAATCGACTTGACTTGGGCCTTTTCAGTGCATGGTGAGTTCTCGCCCACTACGTGTCAATCCCGCGCGCTGACTTTAACTCGAGTACTTATCAGACTCGAACAATTCCGCGCTTCACAAATCTTTGAAGCCTTCAAAACTCGGCGTTCAATCCTTAGGCTATTGAATTCGGGCGTTTCTTATCGCTGCCTGTACTTTTGTAGGGTTTCGAAATTCGTTGATTCAATTTGAATTTGTGTCGTACGTACACGGGAGTAGCTACAGGTGGTACGAAGTCGCTGCTGGGAGCACGGCACGGCGAGCTGGCGCGAAGATGCGCACCGTGCGATCTCGCGGGAGTTGGGCGAATCGCACGGGACGCAGGCGTGCGCATGGTTGATGTTGCACGATGCGCTCGGCGACGCGACTCGGATCCGGCGCTGGGGAGGCGTGGCCTGAAGAACAAGTGAGTAGACGGAAAGGGTTGGGAAGGGCTGCGCACAGCTCGGCAAAGTGCCCATGGGTCGTCCCTGGTAGAGAGTGACTGGCAAAGTTGGTGCGAGCGCGCGACGTGCGACGTGCGAGACGGATCGCAAGCGTGCGCTGGGTGCGGGGTTGGGTACAGCGCGCGCGGCGTGAGGGCGTGGTACAGGCAATGCGGCGGTCGGGCGTACACGGGGACTTGCGCGATCCGCACGAGCACGATGCTGGTGCGCTGGCGCTGCCGAGTCGTGTGCGCGATGGGCCGGCATGTACGCCGTTGGCGCAGTCATCTTGCGCGTGTCAGATCTGGTGGATTAGGGGACCGGGAGAATGAAGAGGGAAGGAGACAGATAAGAAAGAAGGTGCGCACCTTATTACATGACAGCTCGAGCGCGTAATGCGACGGTGCGCAAGCTACTAGCAACAGGTTAGCAGGAACCACCTTGGCCCATCCTTCCCTTCCTGGTGGTCTTTTTCGCGCCCCTTCGCGCGGAGAGTTTGACTTGTGCCGTGCGCTGTTGTCGTGCGATTGTAGTGCAGTGCTGCA